GACCCGGAAGCTCTGCGTCCGGATGGTGGGCTGTGCCGCGGGCCTGGCCCTCCTCCTCTCCCTGCAACTTACCACCTAATCTTCACCCTGCCCCTCTGCGGGCACCGCCGCGAAATCAACCACTTCCTGTGTGACGTGCCCGCGGTCCCGCGGCTGGCCTGCGCGGACACCCGCGCGCACCAGGCCGCGCCCTCCGTCGTGGGCAGCCTCGTGCTGACCGCGCCCGTCCTCCTCCTCTCCGTCTCCTCCGTGCGCCTCGGCTCGGCCATCCTGCGCGCCCGCTCTGCGGCGGGCCGCCGCCGGGCCTCCTCCACCTGCTCCCCGCGCCTCGCCGTGGTCCTGCTGCAGCCTGGTCTCCCTGCGCCCCCGGCCCAGCACTCGGAGGACGAGGGCCGCCAAACCGCCCTGATCCACACCTTCGTCACCCCCTACTCAGCCCCCTGATCTACAAGCTGCGCGACAAGGATGTCAAAGGCGCTCTGAAGAATGCCTTCATCAGTAAAGCATTGAAGACTTAGGGGGCTGGGGTGGGTGTCTGTCACTTGCCACTGTGACAACGATAGCCCTTCCATGCTTTCCCACCCTGTGCCGTTGGTGTGACTTTTTGCCCTATCTGCCCCAGGTGCACAACCTGTCCTCGTAACAGCAGAGTCCAAGACGAAAGACTCCGTCTTCCTGCCTGGTAATGAGGCATGAGTCCAAGACGAAAGACTCCGTCTTCCTGCCTGGTAATGAGGCGTGCTGGGACCTGGGACTCCTGCTTGCAGCGCTGCAGTGCTGGCTCCTGGCTCTCAGAAGTGGCGGGAGGGGGGGTCCGATAATGAGACAGCACTTGCAGCATTACCCTCCAATTAAAAATAAAGTTTAAAAAATAAATTGGTATAACCTTTTGTAACAGAAAATTCGGTCCCTGCCCGCCCAGTGCTGAGTAAGAGTAATGAGGACAACCTGGATATGTTCTAGTGTCTCCTGCTTTATGGTCTATGGAAACCTGAATAGAATTTGTATCCTACTGTGTGTGAACAGCTTGTAAATCTTTATTATGTTGAATTGGTTCATAGTGCTTTTCATGTCTACTAGATCCTTCAACTGAAATGGCAACCCACTCCAGTATACTTGCCTGGAGAATTCCTTGGACAGACAGGCCTGGCAGGCTGCAGTCCATGGGGCTGCAAAAAGTCAGACACAACTGAGCAACTAAGCATCAACAATACCCTTCTACTTTTCTGTGTGTCCATTCTATTAATTTTTGAGTGTTTGATATTGAAACTCTAACTAAAAATCTTAACTTATCTTCTTAAAAAGATAATTGTAATATATAGTGGAACTAAATGTAACTTTGTTCTGTATTTTCCAAGTCTCTTATAAATGTGTTATCAATACCTTCGTAATTTAAAAAATAACAAAAAAAAGAGTAATGAGGATAAGGTTGTGAGGACAAAGGAAAGAGAAATTCATTAATTTGCCGGCAAACGAGGAGGGTTGCAGACTAGTATCTTGAAAACTACCCTCCTGCTCTCTGAAAGAGGGTAGGTCAATTAAGGAGAATTATGAGGGTGGGGGTGGCAGGGCTATGTGACCAAGGCTTCACTGAGCAGGTGCAACTCTTCTTAACATTCCTGTGATTTACGGCCATTGTGCTTGTCTGCCTTCAGTCAAGACACTCCGAAAGTTTTTCTGCCGACCACTTGGTCCTAAGCACCTGTGACTCAAGATAAGAACAACTAGAAAAACAGGAAAGAATTTGTCAGCATAGTTAGCAGAAAAATCAGCATATGTACATTATTTGATTTAATGCATGAGTTAAAAGAGGTTAGTTATTAAATTTTTAACTCTGTAGTCAGATACACCTTCTGAATGCCGTGTGACCAAGTACACCAAAGGCCTAGAAAACTTTCTATTCTTTGATTCAGTAATTCTTATTCTAAAACAGTAACCTCAAATAACTGAGTCAAACAGAAATGAAAATACAAGGCAGTTTCTTATTTTGTTTAAAAAAGCTATTAAAATATAATTTAAAATATTGGATACAAAAATAGAGTGTACTTTGAATTATATTTAATATTTTATAATAAAGGCACTTATAAGTGATTAAAAACAAGGCACAAATCTTTATTTATAATTGGAACCCAATTTTGTAAAAATGCATATGCATAATGAATAGAAATACACCAAAAAGTTAACAGTTGTTATATGTTATTTATAGAATTATGGATAATGTTTTTCTTCTACATCCATTTAGGCATTTTTCATGATTTTTAATATAGAATTATGGATAATGTTTTTCTTCTATATCCATTTAGGCATTTTTCATGATTTTTAACAAGATTCTGTTACTCTTATAATTGGGAAAATAATCATTTATAAGAGGAATCTGAGGCTCATATAAATTTATTTGACAAGTAAACTTTCCATCATCACACTGATGATGTTTTCATGTTTTTTCCTAAATTCTTAATGTTTTTCCTAGATTAACACTTTTGTTTTGGTTACTTCCTCTCATCAAAACTAGATTTAATGCTTTAAAATGTTTTAGATAATTTCAATGGTGATAAGGAGAACTAAACACGTGTTACTTATTCCAGGAACAGCTATAAATTTAACAATATTAAAAATGCCTTTGCTTTCAACTAAATGTTGAAGAAGAGAAAGAAAGTTCTCTGGTGGGCAGGTTGCTTATGAACAAACACAGGTCAAGTCACATCAGAACATAATGAATCAATTTAATGTATATACTGAGCTTGGCATTGTTGAGAATGTGAACAAAAGTTTGCAACTGCATTTTCTTGTCTCCTTTCATTTGTACTCATTGTCACAAATCATAGAGAAAACTAACTTGGAACTCCAAAGGAAGGGACTTCCCTGGTGGTTCAGTGGTAAAGAATCTGCCTGTCAATGCAGGAGACACAAGAGACGCAGGTTCAATCCCTGAGCCAGGAAGATCCCCTGGAGGAGGAAATGGCAACCCACTCCAGTGTTCTTGCCTGAAACGTCCCATGGACAGAGGAGCCTGGTGGGCTACAGTCCATGGGGTTGCGAAAGAGTCAGACGTGACTGAGCACCGCGCAAAAGGAAGAGTGTTGAAATGTTACCCCGTTGGGAAGAGGGCTCTGAGGTGCTTATCGGTCCTTTCCGTTGAATGACGGAGTTCCCCCAGTTACCTTCCTGAATATATTTTAGCTGAATGTAGTGAGCTCCTCCTTCTTATTAATAAATTATTCCCTTAAAATAAGACTCTTTGCATGAAGATACTAGATTCTGGAATTAGAACATTGAGTGGAATATCAGTGCATCATGAGTCATATCATGGGACTGACATGTCAATCAATGATGTTTTCCTGGAGAAAATGATGGTTCCCCCTCCCCCACACATCCCACCCCATCTCCCAGCCCCCGTTAACAAGGCAGACTCATGGTAGCATAAGTGGAAGTCAGATTTTGCGAGATTATTTTAGGTTTCCTCCGCTTTTCCTCTCCTGCATCTTCACTGCTGTTTTCAGATTTCTCCTTCTTTTAAAGCCCTGCTCATCATTTTCATGTTCGTCCTTTTGGGTTTGTGAGTCTGTCCTTGGTATCAAATGACCTACAGAGAAGTACTTGCCCAGGAGGTACACTCCCCTTCCGCTGGCATTCTCTGACTATGTCTGTCTCATCAGAATTTTACTAAAATGCAGTTTACCACATAATATAATTGAGTAACCATGTGATTCCACTGTGAATCAATAAGCACATTGTGGCCAGAACACAGGACAAAAATATCACTACTGTGTTGATACAGCGGATTCTTCCAACCCTTTTCGTACAGTTTTACCAGTGGATGAGAAAAAGGACTAGTTAGAGCAGTGGGAGTGGTGCTTCTAGGTGAATATTCCTTCACAGCATCTCTCCCCCTTCTGCCCCCCCAAAAATTATTTATTTTTAAATCCAAAGTCTGAAAAAAGGCAATTGAGAAATCAGGAAAATTGAGAAAGTTGTTATCATTCTGCTGCAGGAATTAAAGCATAATAATCACCCAACATCACTAATTACTGTAAGGTATAGTTCGGGCCGAGGCAGAAAAGAAGGAGAGACAACTTCAATGGAAGTAGGCAAACTTTATTTAGGGCCAACAGTCGGCCTAAGGACCAGGCTGAGCCCCAAGAGGGATCAGGGAGGCTCCATATTTATAGGGAGGTTTGTGGAAGCGATAAGGGAAACGTTAATCAGGCGGGATGTTTTGAGTATTCTTTAGTTGAGATGGCATTTGTAGCTGGGCAGGGGGTGATAAGTCTTCTGGGTGGGTGGAGGGGGTGGAAGGTTTCTGGACAGGGGATAAGTCCCAGAGAGATGCAACCGGCCTGGAGCATCAGGGCAGGACTAAAGCTCTGTTTTGTTTCCTCCGAAGTTAGATGATTCAGCGAGGGGCCTTTGAGACTGCTGTTCTCTTTTCTAGGCCCAAAGATTCCTTCAGTTATCAGGGAAATGCAAATCAAAACCTCCAATGAGATAGCACCTTACAGCTGTCAGAATGGCTATCCTCAAAAAGTCTAGAGAAATTCTGCAGAGAAGAAACCAGAGGTTACCAGCGGGGAGAGGAGAGAGGAAGGGCGAGGCAGGAAAGAGGAGTAAGAGGTACAAAATATGCGCCTTTTATGCATAAAATAAATCGGATGCGAGGATATATTGTACCACACAGGGAAAATAGCCAAAATGCTATAATAACTTTAAATGAAATACAGTCTACAACAATCACTGAATCACTATGTTGTATGCCTAAAACAAATATAATGCTGCAGATAAACTACACATTAATTTAAAAAATAAACAAAATATAATTTAATTTAAAAATAAAGCATAATGATCAATGCAGAGAGGTTACTGGTTCAGAGGGATCCACTCAGGTCAGGAAGAAAGTGGGGACCAACCAGGAAGTGTGACGTGCAGAGTCGGAGGTTACGTCTGCATTTCTGACATCAGAACTACTGGGAGAAGCACAGTCATGATCTGATCAGTCCGTCTTGATGGGAGCTGTCCCCGAGTGTGTGTTCACGGCCCCCTTTGCTGTCAACAGTGAGTCATTCTTGCAAGTAAAGGAAGAAGTCATTAGTTTATATGCATAAGATACTTTATACAAACCCTGTGAGAGATGTTCCAGGAAATAACAAATTATAGAAACAAGTCCTTAACCTGGAGGTTTTGACACGATTCTGCCTAACGCCTCTATTTGTACTGGGAGACCCGAATGCGCACTTATCCCACTACCGCCCAGTCGTGTCCTTGCAGCGTTTTCCAGTGTCTGGCTGTTGTCTGTAGTCAACAATAGTGGTGGTTTAGTTGCTCAGTCGTGTCTAACCCTTACTACCCCAGGGACTGTAGCCTGCCAGGCTCCTCTGTCCATGGGACTTTCCAGGCAAGAAAACTGGAGTGGGTTGCAATCTCCTTCTCCAAGGAATCTTCTTGACCTGGGGATCGAGCCCAGGGCTCCTGCACAGAGGGCGGTCCTGTGCATCGCGGGTGGATTCCTTGCTGATTCAGCCACCGGGTCATCCGCTATAGCCTACAGTACTTAGTATACACTAAAATACCTAACATTTGTAGTTATTAAGCAAGTTTTAGGTACCTGAACTAATGAGTAAATAGCACTAAGAATGCTGAAAATATTTTAAGGATGACTTATAGCCTTATACTTTTCCTAAAAATTCCCAGGAATTTCAGTTTCCCGTTCCCGTGTGTTGAAGACCAAGGAAACCATACAGGGAGTGTTTGCCCAGGCACGTCTGTGTTATCCAGTTACAACCGCTGCAAGGGGAGGGGGCGCCAGCTGGATAAGGAAGTCATTGAACGCAAGAGATTATCATACAGCAACACACCTTGGCAGTTTGCTTTATGGGTGTGGGCTGGGTTAGAAATAACTGGAGTACACCCTCAAGAATCAACACAAGAGGTATTTTTATAACAATTATCTCTTTCTCTCAGCAGTGACTTTGAAAACCACATAAAATCACGGATTCTGCCAAAGAATGTTCAAGCTACCGTATAATTGCACTCCTTTCACGCGCGACTAAGGTTATGCTCAATATCCTTCACGTTAGGCTTCAGCAGTATGCGAACTGAGTCATTCCAGATGGAGTAGCTGGGTTTAAAAGGCAGAGGAGCCAGAGATCAAATTGCCAACATCTGTTGGCTCATAGAGAGAGCAAGGGAATTCCAGAAACAACATCTACTTCTGCTTCACTGACTGTGCCAAAGCCTTTGACTGTGGATCACAACAAACTGTGGAAAACACTTAAGGAGATGGGAATACCAGACCAACTTATCTGTCTCCTGAGAAACGTGTATGTGGATCACGAAGCAACAGTTAGAATCTTACATGTAACAATGGACTGGTTCAAAACTGGGAAAGAAGTTAAGCAAGGCTGTATATTGTCACCCTGCTTATTTAACTTATATGCAGAGTGCCGTGTGCTTAGTCATTCAGTCACGTCCAACTCTTTGTGACCCCATGGGCTGTAGCCCGCCAGGCTCCTCTGTCCATGGGACTCTCCAGGCAAGAATACTGGAGTGGGGTGCCATGCCCTCCTCCAGGGGACCTTCCCCACCCAGGGATGGAAGTCAGGTCTCCCACACCGCAGGCGGATTCTTTACCGTCTGAGCCCCCAGGGGAGCCCTACGTACAGAGCACGTCATGCAAAGCCCTGGCCTGGATGAGGCACAAGCTGGAACCAAGACTGCCAGGAGAAACAGCAACAAACTCAGACATACAAATAAACCACCTTGTGGCAGGAAGTGAAGAGGAACTAAACGGCCTCTTGATGAGGGTGAGAGAGGAGAGTGGAAAAGCTGGCTTGACACTCAACATCCAAAAAACTAAAATCATGGCATCCAGTCCCATCACTTCATGGCAAATAAAAGGGGGAAAAGTGGAAGCAGTGACAGATTTTATTTTCTTGGGCTCCAAAGTCCAAAGTCCAAATTCCAGATGGTGACTGCAGCCATGAAATTAAAACACACCTCCTCCTTGGAAGGAAAACTATGACAAACCTAGACAGTGTATTAAAAAGCAGGGACATCACTTTGCCAGAAAATGCCCGAATAGTCAGAGCTATGGTCTTTCCAGTAGTCATGTACAGATGTGAGAGTTGGGCCATAAAGAACGCTGAGCACTGAAGAACTGATGTTTTTGAACTGTGGTGTTGGAGAAGACTCTTGAGAGTCCTTGGACCACAAGGAGATCAAACCAGTCAATCCTAAAGGAAATTAACCTTGAGTATCCATTGGAACGACTGATGCTGAAGCTCCAATACTTTGGCCACCTGATGTGAAGGGCCAACTCATTGGAAAAGACCCTGATTCTTGGAAAGACTGAAGGCAGGAGGAAAAGAGGGCAGCAGAATATGAGATGGTTGGATAACATCACTCAGTGGACGTGAACCTGAGCCAACGCCAGCGGGTAGTGAAGGACAAGGGAACCTGGCGCGCTGCAGTCCGTGGGGTCACAGAGAGTCAGACAGAACTTAGTGACTAGACAACAACAACGGAAAATAGTACGTGTTTTAAATGTGATGGTGACCATTGCTTGGGCTTCTCTCTGCCCACTGGTTCCAATTTGTGAATTGCCCTAGTTTCCTTTTTTTGGTTTTAATCCAGTCCTCATGAGAGGGAAAGGTATGGCACCCACCGCGTTGAGCAAAGGAGGCTATTCAGCAGAGATGGATACAATCTTCAGAGACATAGACCACACACTTGGCGGATCTTTATGAAGCAACTTTAGAAACACCATGTTATGCCAGCACACAATTCCATCATTTAGGATTTAGAGACGGCGGAGGGAAAGGAAGAATATTAATCAGTCTCAGCATCAGCTACAGACTCGAGGACTGTGATGACATTCTTGTCTTCGTTTTTCCCTGAGGTGACCTCCCACCACCTTGACTCGGGGGAGGTCTCAACCATGGTGATACTGCCCCCAAGTGGTCAAAAGTTAGTGCTTCAGGATTGAAAAAGAGAAACCTTTTAACTGTGCCTCTCCAAAGCTCAAAGCTGACTCATCGGAAAAGCCCCTGATGCTGGGAAAGATTGAACGTGGGAGGAGAAGGGGACGACAGAGGATGAGATGGCTGGATGGCATCACCCACTCGATGGACATGAGTTTGAGTGAGCTCCGGGAGCTGGTGATGGACGGAGGCCTGGCGTGCTACGATTCTTGGGGTCGCAGAGAGTCGGACATGGCTGACCGACTGAACAACAAAAAGCTCGGCCCAGTCTGACAAAAATCTTATTTCGTAGTATTTGATTACATGGGAGTAGAGAGAATTGAGAATAAAACATCTATCAGTTCAGTTCAGTTCAGTTCAGTTGCTCAGTCGTGTCCGACTCTTTGCAACCCCATGGGCCACAGCACGCCAGGCCTCCCTGTCCATCACCAGCTCCCGGAGTTACTCAAACTCATGTCCATCGAGTCGGTGATGCCATCCAGCCATCTCATCCTCTGCCGTCCTCTTAAAGGCTCCTTACAGGGATCCCTGGGTGATGACGAATAAAAGGATGAGGATCACTGCTCTCGACGGACTGGACTTATACTTCCCTTATCAGTATTTTCATTGTTTTACAAAAAACGATTCCATGGAATCTAAAGACATCGAACCTGGAGATCTATATTGAGAGGGCACGGACAGATGTGAAGTAGCACAACAGGCGGACCGTATTGGACACAAGCCTTATGTTCCCTCTTCTTTCTGACGACGTAGTTCTCCTTCCAAACGCGGCTGCCTCTTTCCAAGCTCTCCCGCTGACTGGCGCCCACACTGAACCTGGGCCACACGTGATCACGCCAGTGCCCCTCAGCTTCTGGACTCAGATCAACAGTCGTGCTGAGGAATATGGTTCCCGACTTTCTCTGTGGCCACCGAAGGGCCAGGTGATGCAGCGTGAAAGTTCAAGAGAGTGAGGTCCGCGTGGGGCCAGCCTTGGCCGACGGGAAGCAAGAGAAGAAAAGAAACAGGGTCTGCAGCTGTCCCTCTCTGCTCTCCCTGGACTGATCCTAGCTGTGCTTTCTCCTCGCAGAGGAGTCTACCATAATAAAGTTTATCTGATGAGTAATTTTCTCCAGCTCTTGCCCCTCACTGTGAACACTCACCCTTGCAGTAATTCATTTCTCTGCATTATACTGCATCTAGCCCAGGCTCCGTTCCTTCTCTTGTCCTCTTCTTTACATCATGGGATTTCATCTTCCAAATAAAATTTTAAGACTTAGATTCTTCCTTCAGGCTCTAGAAACGAGAAGACCCATGCTAAGATAGAAGTTATCATCGTCCCTTCAGGCTGCTGTAACAAAATGCCATAAATCGGGTGGCTTATGAACAACAGAAATGCATTGCTTACAGTCCTGGAGGCTAGAAGTCCATGGCCAAGGCTCTGGCAATTCAGTGTCTGGTGAGAGCCTGCCTCCTGGTTCACGGACTGCCATTTCCTCGTTGCATTGTCATGAAGTAGACGGGGCAAGGGAGCTCCTTCAGACCTCATTTATAAGGATGCTAATCCCATTCCTGAGGGCTCTGTCCCATGACCTAATCAGCTTCTAAGACCCTATCTCCTAATGCCATCACCTGGGGTCATGCTTCAACATGTGAATTTTAAGAGGACACAGACTTTCAGACCATAACATTACTGGAGAAGGAACTCAAAAATATGCCTCATGGACAAGTTGTAAAAAAAAGGATTCTGGTTCCACACACATTTCTTTCCTAGTCATAACCAGACAGATGATAGATAGGTAGATAAAATAACTTGCCTTTGCCTTTTTCTCCATCACCCAGTTATTCTGAACATTAGTCATGAATTCAATCAGTCTATAGGTTAAGTCATTTCCTGTTAAGGGGGAGTGAGTGTTCTTGCTTAGGGTGAGAAATCACTGAATTATATTATGAAGCAGATGCAGTCATTAGAAGTAGGAGTCTATGAATTTTGGTTGTGTCTCTGGTTATATACCCTCCCTTTCTCCTGTCTGTCTCAGGGTCTGTATTTCCAGCCTTCCCAGTGTATCTGTGAACAACTGAATATCACTGCAGTCTGTTTCTTCCAATCCTAAAAACCCAGAGTTTATTTCTTTAGTTTGCAACTGAGAGCCCCGAGTGCTGAATCCCTTCGTCCCCAGATACCCTTCCAACACCAACCTTCACTCAAGTGGGAAGGAGACTGTGGTCTACCCCCTTCCACGAGAGATGGCGTCTCTTTGGAGTCATAATCCCCAGTGCAGGAATTACCCTCAGTTCTCAAGGTATTTACTGTTTCCCCTCGATTAGGCACTAGAGAGGAAACAGAAGGAAATCTCAAAATGCTGCCAGTTCACTGGGAACATAAGACACGCAGCAAACAGTTCAGTTGCTACAAAGAGCAATAAGCACCTAAGTCACAAACAGGAAATCACAGGTGGGAAGAGGCGCCTGAAGACAAACAAGAAAACAGGGCGGCCGGCCTATTCCCCGTGCACCTCACAGAGCCTGGGATGCGAAAACAGCCCTCTGTTCTGAGGAAAACCCTCCAGGGACACTGTCCCCAGGGACCTAGGAGGAGCTCACTGTCCCACATGAGCCCGGCGCCGTGACTGATCCGCGCTGCACTTGGGGAAAGAGCCTGGTTCCGGGAAGAACACGGGACCTGCTGTCTGTCTCCCCTGCAACCCTGCCCCCAACAAGCTAAGCTGCTGGGTCTAGAGCCCAGTGGCGTCCTGAGGTCCGAGCCTCTTCCAGAGGTGAGCCCGGTTAGACGGCAGCATTGCTGTGAGCCCGGTTAGACGGCAGCATTGCTGCTCTCGACTAGTTAGGCAGGCGCCCCGGGGACTTGGGGCGGGTTTTGCAGGACTTCTGGTGGCAGGACAGGTAGGGCAGGAAGAGGAGGTTAGAGACTGTCGCTCAAAATACACACTTGCTCGTGCTAGTCAAGCGCAAACCAGCCCGGGGCTTCACCCTCCCAGGACCCTCGAAGGCTGCTCCGTGTCTGGCCCTGAGGTTGGGTAGAGATGCCTGCTGGTCCTCTGTCTCTCTTTAGTTTGGCCTTGGCTCCTCTCTCCTACATCGAAGCCTCAGTCTCTCTCTCCCTCCATCCCCTCCCTCTCTTTCATCTCCAAGTCACGCTTCTATGGGCCAGAGAGGCCTCGAGACCCTCTGCAGTCCCTGCCCCCTTTCAGTCTTCCAGGGCCCTGGGGTGGAGGCTTCTTTCTTTCTTTCTTTCTTTGTTTTCCGGCCTCTTCATGGAAAGAAAAGCTCGCGGAGACTTGGCTCTCTCTCTAATCTTTTAAGGACAAGAATTTCGGGAATAAGTGGAAGAGAGGGAAAAGTGAGAAGGAGGAATCAGGAAAGACAAGAGCAGCACGGCTTGGCTCTCCAGGCAGTATTCTCCCCGGTAAGCCGCAAAGGGAGCCGCATTGGATCCAACCTCCCTTCCCTGACCCGGGGTGGGATCTCGGGAGGTCTCAATGTCTTTCGCTTGCTTCTAGTTTTTAAAAATTAGTTTTACCTGGTACTAAAGGCCTACTTCACCAGGGATCCAAAAGCCCAGCCCGATTAGAAACTTCAGTTTCACGTCCTTCGCTGCCTGCGTCCTCCCTTCTGAGCCGAGTCGGCGCTGCAGCGTGGGGTGCGGCGCGGGGAGCCGTAAGGAGGACTGGCAGTGGAAAGGGGGTGTCTTCTCTCCGCTGCCGTGGAGTACTCGGGGGTGGCGAGGTGTGGGTGGCAGGCTGGCTCCATCGTGAGAACACTTGGGATTCTTCAGAGGCCTTTCAGGACTGGTCCACGAAGCATTTCCTTGACGAGGGTGATGAGTGTTCTCCCTGATCTCTCTATGACTGCCGTCTCCTAGGACAGCCCCTCCCTGACCCCTTATTCTATAACCTCCTCTACCCCAAAAGGCTCCTTCCTGGTTGGAGTCCCCGCAAGGAGGCTTGAGCTCAGCGACTTCCCGCAGCTACCACGTGGCCTGTGGGCAACTCACGCTGTGTCCCGTGTGAGGAGAGATGCAGGACGGTCCTGCCACATAAGCAGTGAGCTGATGCACGGAGCCCCCATCTTCCGACAGAGAGGAAAGCCGAGACTGTAGGTTCTTAGGTGTCCCCTGAGCTTCTCCATCCACCTGACACCTAAGCGCGAACGAAGTGAAAGTCTGGTCTCCCCTCTGTGTACACCTCCTCCAAGAACAGTTCTTTTGGGGGAGAGTCCCCCTAACTGGAATGGGAAGGAGCACCTGCATGACAGTATATTCCCCTAAGGGTTCCTAACACTTAGCTGTTCCTACTTTTCCAAACTCGTCACTTTAATGACTCTTCAAAAGGATGCAAGTGAATAGTGGGAAAGGTCTTGGGACCAGTTAGTTCATTTTTAACTAATTCCTTCAGAGTTATCCAATATCTTTAGAGAATGGAACATAACTTATATATTGTCCTCAGTTCAGGGCTTGTCACTAATCTGGAGCCAACTGTAAAAGTCACTTTCAGAACCATGTTAGAGTTTAAAACATATTCATCGAGAAATATCTGTCATGTCACCAACTTTTCTTTCTAAGGCATTTCTTGAGTCTCTGCACTGCTGACGGAGTTCCTTATTAAGTAATCTTTCTCCACCCTTTATTCCCCTTCAGCCTAGAGGGAGTGTCCACCTCCCTGCCATGACCCCAGTTGAATGGTACCACACTGGGTTTTCGTGTGGGGGTGAAGACTTTGTGGTCCTTTCTCCAGATCAGCAGAAATATGCATGAAGGAAACCAAACGAGCATCTCCGAATTTCTCCTCCTGGGACTCTCCAGCCAACCTGGGAAACAGGAGCTCCTCTTTGCACTTTTCCTGGCTATGTACCTGGTCACCGTGGTGGGGAACACGCTCATTGTTCTGGCCATCAGCTTGGACTCTTACCTTCACACCCCCATGTACCTCTTCCTCGCCAACCTATCCTTGGCTGATGTTTCCTCCATTTCCACCTCAGTCCCCAAAATGCTGATGAATACTCAGACCAAGAGTCCATCCATCTCCTATGAGAGCTGCATCACACAGATGTATTTCTCCATTGTCTTTGTTGTCACTGACAACTTCCTCTTGGGGGTCATGGCCTGTGACCGCTTTGTGGCTATCTGCCATCCTCTGAACTACACGACCATCATGGGACCCAGGCTCTGCCTTTGGCTGGCCGCCATCCCCTGGGCCCTCAGTAACGCCGTCGCCCTGACACACACCCTTCTGCTCCTCCGATCTGCCTTCTGTGACGGCCACGCTCTCCCGACTTCCTCTGTGACTTGGCCCCGCTGCTCAGGCTGTCCTGCTCGGACACGACGGTCAACGAGCTCGTGCTCTTTGTCGTGGGCTCGTCGGTCGTCACCCTGCCCTTCGCCCTCATCCTCGTCTCCTACGCCTGCATCACCCGGGCTGTCCTGAGACTCTCACGCCCAGAGGGGCGGTGGAAAGCCTTCTCCACCTGTGGCTCTCACCTGACAGTCGTGTTCCTCTTCTACGGGACCATCGTGGGGGTCTACTTCTTCCCCTCGCCCTCTGACCCTGACAACAGAGACAAGATCGGGGCGCTGCTGTTCACCGTGGTGACCCCCATGATGAACCCCTTCATCTACAGCCTGAGGAACAAGGACATGAAAGGGGCCCTGAGGAGACTCCTCTGTGGGAAAAAGGGCTCTCCCTGTGATGCCCTGAGCGTCTGAATGCCTTTCGTCCCCACTGCAAAATGGATGATTCTGCTCAGAGTCCGTAGCATAGACAGGATGGTTTAACTTTTGATGAGCTTTCAGAAATCTGTCTCCTATTCCAGTCACTGTGGGACTGGGGCTTTTCCACACAGCACTGACTTTTCTAAACAAGACCCTTAACCCCCATGGTAACTCACAAGAGTTCTACACATCTTGATTATAGTCTGTGTTACTACTAACTTTGGAGCAAACTATTTATGAATTAAAAAACCGACTTGTAATTTTTTAGTAACAAGCACATGGAGTACCTGCAATCTAGTTGTTAAATCTTTGAGGACTGTTATCATTAATTCCTTTGTTCAATCTAGCTTTCTCAGTGCCAGCTTTCTCATAGTTTGTTTCACCAAATTTGCTCTTCACACAAGATGTTTAATAGTTATAAAAATGAAGAGGCCCGTGTTCAAATAATTTGGGGCATCTTTGAGGTAAATGGAGCAAAATTTCTTAACTAGATGATTTCTCAGAGACTTTAGTACAGTATAAATCCCCAGGAGGTTAGGTACGCAGCATTTCTCCAAACTAAACTCATGCTGTCATATAGGACACGGTTCATCACAGAGATAGATGGGACTGGTGTTGTGCAAACCACATTTTGGGGAATGCATGCCAATAGAAAACCAGACAGCGTGTGTACAGAAGACCTGATTCTAGTCTTGACTCTGGCCACAAGCAGATGTGAGACTTTAGGCGTGTCAGCTCGCCTTCTTGACCCTAGTTTCTCATCTGCAAACTGAGGTCACTGATCACAGTTGCTTCCAACTGAGGGTGCCTACAGGGATTTTCCAAAGTTCACACTGTCAGACGCTGCAATGCCTTCTCTGCTCTATCGCCTGCAGTGGTCTTGGATTCAGATTGCCGATCAAACTCACAAGATGCACCAAGAGTTAAGCTTTAAGCAACCATCAAGACAGGATGTAGGACAGCCATGCAACACACAGTGACAGCCAGGTAGAGATCTCGCGAGGCACAGACCTGCCTTCTACATACCTCACTCGCTCCACACTTGGAATGATGATCATGAGAGAGAAGGCAGTGGGAATGGACCATCGTGAGAAAGAGCTGGAAGTCAAGGAAACTTTATTTACTTGTTTATCGCATAAAGGCCCTCAGGGGTGTGCACCTAGGCCCCATTTTCTGGCATACAGCTGCATCTCATCAAATAAGGTTGCTCATCAATCACAGACCCCCCCCCATGACCAATTTAAATAGATGCAAGTGCCCTTGTCACCTCAAAGCCATTTCAGCAGGACTTCCGAGTGTCTTGGATCCAATATAGACCTTTACAATTCTCGAGTTAGTTGCAAGAGGGATTTGATGGCATGTCAAAGCTCAGACTTCTCCAAGGCTGAGAGGAGACTGCAAATCATCTTTGACAGCTTTCCCTCCGAACCCTTGCCTGGATCTATTAGCCCAGACTCCCGGGAAGGAACCTCAGTTCCCTTGTATTCCGAAAATGCCTAAGTTGCACTCCAGCTCCAGGATTTTATGAATGTAGATGCCTACTGCCTAACGGACATGTCCATCAGACATCCATCTTAAAAACACCTTGTGGCCAAGGAGGAGAGTTAACAAAACATCAACAGCGGCCGTGGCAGGCTATGTTTTCCAAGAATGGACGCGACATTTCCGTCCCACGTGCTCTTGAAGGACTGGCCACTTCCTCATCAAGAGGTGGAGTCTGAGGCCCTCCCCTGAAGCTGCAGGACTGTGGGGGTGGCTTTGACCAACAGAGGATCCCAGAGTGGTGCTGCGTGATCCCCGAGGCTCTTAGGAAACCCAGTGCACGCTCCTGTAGAACGCACTCTGGGGCCTGAATCAGCATGGGAGAAGCCCCTCTACTCTGAGGTCGCCCTGCTGGAGAGACCGGAGAGTCAGAGCGAGATGCGCAGGGTGGACCAGGCGTTCCAACCAACACGGCTCTGAGTCTCCCTGCCAGGCACCCGCCACGCGAGGGCGTGAAACTCCTGCTGACCCCGGCCTCAGCTCTGATGGCAAAAATGCCGTTGCATTTCACAGCTCTGAGTGAAAACTGCCTGGCTGCACTGGCAACTCTGAGAACTCTGAGGGATAACAATAAAATGACGATTATTACTGTAAGTCCCTTACTTTTGGGCTTTGTTATACAGCAGCATGTAACCAAAATGTTGGTTTTGTTTGATGGGATAGAGTGATGAATATCATATCCTATATCGTTTGAGGGTTTCCCCAGCGGCATGGGTGGTAAAGAACTCACCTGCCCTTTCAGGAGATGTAAGAGACATGGGTTCAGTCTCTGGATCAGGAAGTTCCCCTGGAGTAGGAAATGGAAACCTATTCCAGTATTATTGCCTGGAAAATTCCATGGACAGAGAGCCTGGCAGGATAAAATGTGGGGTCACCAAGAGTTGGACGTGACTGGGTACACACATACCACACCCCCACCACACACACACACACACACACACACACACACACATTATTTCATTTTAACATTTTACTGTAGCCACCATTTTAGGAACAAAAAGTGCTTTTTTTATATTAAGGAAGATAAGCTGTCTTGCCTATTAAGTCATCATGGATACCATGGTACCAGAATCTTCTCAGCTGCATAAACATCAATGAGGCAGAGCTATAACTTTGTCTCTTTATTTGGTTTCATCGAGCCCATGTTTGATGGAATAAGTACCGTGATGCTCAGACCTCCGTCATTTGGTTTGAATTGGGCCTCATCCCCATGGGGCGGTCCTGGACCTCTATAACCTCTGTCTTACAGATCCTACAGAAGGTGCATTCATTCTAAGATATCACTCCATCTGCAGTGAGTAATGGAGACGCTGAGTTGGCTAGAAATAGACTTGAATGCAGGTTGGAAGCTTGCCTGAAAAATTAAATGAAGATTAAGTTTGGGACACAAAAGACAATTGATTAAGGAAATAAGGAATCACAAACTTTTATGAAAACCTTGACAGGTTTTCACAGAAGAAAGGCATAAATCTGTACCTAAATTCTTGTATTTCCCTGAATCATTCCTCTATTTGTCATTTTCAGCAAACATCTATTATAAACCTTCTTTTTACCAGGCTCTGAGTCTGGCCCTGGGACAAAGAATGAATAATTCAGTCTATACCCTTAACACACTCACAAACTAAAGAGAGGAACTGACAAAAAATTTAAATGATTTTTAAGATTTGACAAACAAAGACAATATTTAGTCAATAATCCATGTCATTAAATTTAGAAAGCATACAGATTTTGTTCAAAGCACAGATAAACTGAATTTTATGCCGTAATTGTTCTTTTGTGTTAGTCTTACTTGAGAAAAGCTGACTTGTGGTTCTATGAATAAATTAATAAAAATCTCTGCTATTTAACTGTAGGTAACAGAAATGCCTCAGAAATGTGTAGGAAAAATTCATATATGGAGGAAGAATAATTTGAAAAACCTACTGTATAAAGTGTCAGTAAATGTCCATATATTTATTCACTTAACAAATAATTTTAGTATTTAGTGAGAGTCAAAATAAGGCAGCACCACTGCTTTCCCAGCTCTTACTTTATAATGCATGAGACGGACAATGAACATATAAATAAATGGCCATACTATGAGGCAACTAGAAGGCCTGTGATAAGAAGTGAAGTGGGATCAGGGGACAGACAGTGTCACAAGCTGGAATAGCTGTTTTAGGGAGAGAAGTTCAGGGGTGGAGGAAGGTTTGTCTTAGGTGTTTGAGCTGAGACGTGAATAAACTTAAGGAATAAGCCATGAATCATCTTGGGAATAACATTCCAAGAAAAGGGAAGAGCAGATCCTTTAATAAATAAAGATCCTGATATGAGAGCATGTCTGATATGTTGAAGGAACAGTAAGCGCACTGGACCAGGGGGAACGGAAGGCACATAGATACAGTCCTGGGGGTAGCTGGGTGCCCAACCTGGTTGAATCTTGGAGTCATGACAAAGAATCTACATTTTATTCAAATACCTCAAGCACTTAAAGCCACCAGACGGGATGAAATTACCCAAGGAGTGACCTCAGGGGGAGAGGAAGACCTATGACTAAGTCCTGGCTGACTCTGATATTCAGAAATAAGGAGCCGGCAGAGGAGGCTGAGCAGCAGCCAGGAGGCAGGGAAACAGCAGAGTCAGGACGATGGAGGAAGGAGGCGGAAGCTCTTCCAGAGAAGGGGGCCACCCGCCTCAAACACCGCAGGGGCCACCATCGCGCCCGAAACCACGCATCCCCATCTGCGCTCCCCAGTCCACACTGCTCTCACCCTGAGCCTTCTCCCCACCAGATCCACATCCTCAGGGCTGGATTCAGATTGGGGATGCCTCCTTCAGAACATATTCCTCAGAAGATGGAAACACCTCAGATTTCTCATTTGCCTCTGTCTTCCTTCCACGGCTTATGCCTCTCTCTGTAGTTTCTTTTTAACAGAGGAATTTAGATGACTCAGAATGACGAATCCCATTTAAACTGGCCTATGACTTTAGGCAGTACCCTTGGTGACCTTTTTAATGAGCTAAGAATACTCGGGAACATCTTCTACTTTCTTTGATAATCAAAGGATTTCTCACTGTGATCAAGTACAGTTTCTCTTAGAAACACAAGAATTGTTTAACATTTCAAAAGCAATCAATGTAGCTCACCATATTAAAAAACAAAAAATAAAACTGTGATCATGCTAATGGATGCAGAAATTGATTGTGGACAAAATCCATTATTCATCCTTCGTTTTAGGTGGGGGAAAATCTCTCAATAAACTAGGAATCAAAGGGAGCTCCCTTAACCTGGTAAAAGTCATCTGTGAAAAATCTGCATAATGAAAAGTGAGAGACTAAAAGTGAAAGTGAAGTCGCTCATTCGTGTCCGACTCTTCAGGACCCCATGGACTGTAGCCTACCAAGAATGTTGGAGTGGGTTGCCATTGCCTTTTCCAGTATGGATGCGCGAGTTGGACTATAAAGAAAGCTGA